AAATTTGATCCCTTCCAGCATAAACTATTCGAAAGGTGTTATGTAACGTAAATATCGATCTGAATAACAAGTCTAGGGAGAACAACTAATTCTTACAGTCATCTTCCGAATCGTGCTCTACATCGTCCCAGGTGGTGATCTCCTTTATTTTTCCACCTTGATCGTCAAACTTATCATTTCCTGTCTCATAAGTAGGTGGTGGACGGAAAGAACGTTTTCTTTTCCCCATTGCTCCTACAAAGGCAAGTTCTCTAGAATCAACGACTTTCTAACTATCGATGATCGATGTGCGAACTCACGTGATTTCACATGTTAACGTTAATGATCTTCAATCTTTGATGACGTATTTTTTTCCTTTTTTTTTTTTTCCTATAAATTCTGATTTCTTGCGCACCTTAGAACTTCCCTTCTTTTGGAATCAGCGAAAACTGTCCCATAGCTTGACAGTAATGTCTAAATTTCCAGCTGTTTTGAACGGTACTTTACTTATTGATTTGTTAATAGTGATATTAATATAAAGTATCGATGGCTCGAATGGATACTTAACTTATGCATTCGAATTTATTTGTGAATTAATCGGTTTATAATACAAATCGGAAAAACAGCCACAGAGGAGGATATTCAACTCCTCCTAGCGGCGCAATGCCATATCGGTGCCAAAAACTTAAATGTTCAAATGACCCCTTATGTCTTCAAGCGTCGTGCTGACGGTAATTTTCTTTATAATCCATTAAAATATTTTATAGTACAAAAAACATCCATTGCATTTTGTTTATTTTATTCTTCAAGTTTATAGCTTAACTTTTTTTCCTTAGGTGTTCATATAATTAATATTGGCAAGACGTGGGAAAAATTGATTTTCGCTGCCCGTATTATTACTGCCATTGAAAATCCCGCCGATGTAGTAATAATTTCAGCTCGTCCATATGGTCAGCGTGCTGTATTAAAATATGCTTCGTACACTGGTGCACAGCCTATTGCCGGTCGATTTACTCCTGGAACTTTTACGAATTACA